TTTGGAAAAGGCGTATGAAAGAGTTGGATAGGGGTGGCAATGTGGCAGATGTTGCAAGTGTAGGTGTAGGAGGTAGGTTACTGAAAGCAGTGGAAGAGTTTTTACGGTGGATAGCTGGAGGCTCAAGTTAGAGTATGTAGGAAAGAGGGAAAATTTTTTCCCAGTAAAGTAGGCCTTAGACAGATGTGTGATGGTCACCGTGGTTGTTTAATATTTTTATAGATGGGGTTGTAAGAGAAGTAATGCGAGGGTCTTGGCAAGAGGCGGGAGTTAAAAGATAAAGGAATCACAAACAATATGGGAGTGTCAAGTGCTCTTTGCTGATGACACTGTGCTTTGGGAGATTCTGAAGAGTAGTGCAGAGATTGGTGGATGAATTTGGTAGGGGTGTGCAAAAGAAGAAAATTAAAGGTGAATACAGGAAAGGTAAGGTTATGAGGATAACAAAAAAGAGTAGGTGCTGAAAGGATTGAATATCAGATTGGAGGGAAGAGTATGGAGGAGGTGAACGTATTCTGATTTTGGGAGTGGAGTGTCAGCGGATGGGTCTATGGAAAGATGAGGTGAATCATTAGAATTGATGAGGGAAAAGTGTTGAGTGGTGACTTTGGGAGTCTGTGGAGACAATGATAAACTTTGTCCTTGGAGGCATCAGGAGTGGGAATGTTTGAGTGTATAGTTTTACCAACGCTCTTATATGGGTGTGAATGGTGGGTGATGAATGTTGCAGCTCGAGGAGAAGGATGGAGGCTGTGGAGATGTCAGTATGAGGGCAATGTTGTGGTAGGTGAATATAATGCAGAGAATTCGTAGTTTCGGAATTAGGAGGAGGTGCGGTTACCTAACTGTTGTCAGAGGGCTGAGGAAGGGTTGTGAGGTGTTCGCGACATGTAGAGAGAATGGAGCGAACAGAATGGACTTCAAGAGTGTATCTGTCTGTAGTGCGAAGGGAAGGCGGGGTAGGCGGTCGAGCCTAGGAACGGGTTGGACGGGGGGGGGCTAATGGAGGTTTTGTGTGCGAGGGGCTTGGATTCCAGCAGGCATGCGTGGAGGTGTTTGATAGGAGTGAATGGAGACAAATGGTTTTTAATACTGACGTGTGTTGGACGTGTTGAGCAAAGTAACTATTATTGATAGGGATTCAGGGAAACCGGCAGGCCGTCTTGAGTCCTGGAGATGGGAAGTACAGTTGCCTTGCCACTCTGAAGGAGGGGTGTTAATGTTGCAGTTTAAAACGTTTGTGTAAAGTCCCTTCTGGCAAAAGGGCGTGATGGAGTGAATGATGGTTGAAAGTTTTTCTTTTTCGGGCCACCCTGCCTTTGGTGGGATATCGGGCCTAGTGTGATAAATATAAAATAAAAAATGTCGTTCACAAATACCAGAAACAGCCACTGGTCCTGGACCAGTGTGTGTGTGTGGTGTGTGTGATGTGTGTGTGTGTGTGTTGTGTGTGTGTTTGTGCGTGTCGTGCGTGTCGTTTGTTGGTGTGTGTATGGCTCATCTATATGTGGTTGCAAGGGTCGAGTCCCAGCTCTTGGTCTCGCCTCTTCGCCGGTCGCTACTAGGACCCCTCTCTCTCTCCCTACTCGAAAAGCCTTATCGTACCTTTTCTTAAAACTATGTATATATTCCTTCATCACTACATTTGCTCTCCAAACTGTTCACTTCCTGACAAACTTATAGGCTAAAGAAATACTTTCTAATGTCCCTATGACTCATCTGAGTTTTCATCTTCCAGTTGTGTCCCATCTCTGAAACATTCTGTTCCTGTCCACCTTGTATTTTATTCATCGTTATCATAACCCTCCTCTCCTCCAGTGTGTGTGTGTGTCTATGTGTGTGTGTGTGTTTGTGTGTGTGTGTGTGTGCATGATAGGTATATAGTGATTTTGGGTCTGAAGAAAAAGCATGAACCATGAGAAAACATGACACAGACAGGATGAAAGTGAGAAAGGTACAATTTAGTGAGATGGGGCTGTCTAAAGTACTGAAAGACGCTCATTTTTTTTTTTAGCCAAAAAATGCAGCATCCAGCGGCGTGAAAAAGAGATCATTATTTATACCATGGGCGACAAAATTAAAGGTGAGCGAGGATTCAGATGTTAAGAGAGAAATCCTCTTTAATTAAGATGGTCACTCTACTGATACAGAAAGAGTATACTAGAGCATCAGGTGCTAGTAAACACTCGTTAAATTAGAGTATTTGGGAAACTGAAGGTCGCCCAGATATAGAGCCGGGAAGAGAGGGATGCGGGAAGGGAAAGTAAGTCTTCCCGTAGGGAACAACCATCCCGGAGGAGGAAGAAGGATCAAAGGAATGTTCTCACATATCTGACACAGTCAACATCAATAAGGCAGGCTTCTCCTCTCCCATCACCACTCTCACCAGCACCCTCCCATCACCCCTTCCATCTCCCTTCCCACCAGTACCTTCGCATCCTCTTCCCCACCCCTATAAAGAGCTTCACACAACTCCCTCTCCTCAAGTTCCACACCTTCC